AACTTAAACATTTCTGAGAAGCAGCAAGTTCAGCTGCTGATGCGGAGACTGGCCCTTGGCCATGCGGACTCAGGGGAGACCCCACCCATATATATATATATATATATATATATATATAGTGAATTGTTTATGATGATCAATTTAAGATTAAAAATTTTATATTTTTCTTAGATATTGAAAATAGAACAAAGCAGAATGAAGGAACATTTTCCAATCTATATGCATCTGCCAATCTCAGTAACCAATGATCCATGTTAGTGGAAGTTAAGCACACAGACTGATTTGTTTTTCGCCATTGAGACAAATTCTGTGGCATAATTATTTTCTAAGTTAATATTTATTGACTACAAAGTATGTACCAGTCATTTTTCTGAAAGCTTTACATTTATTCATTGATTAGTTGTGGTACCCGTATTTTACTATAATTCTCTATTAAAGATAAGGAAACGGAAGTGCAGAGAGATTAAATCACATACCCAGAGTCACACAGCTAGGAAACAAAAAGCTGGCATTCAAAACCAGAAAGTTGGTTCCGAATCCGTGCTTTGTTATACCATATTAATTTCAGAAATTCCAAACCTATCAGGTTTTTGAATCATAACACTGGTATGTCCACATTGATCAATTATATAAGATAATTTTAGCATTGTGTGGAAATAGAACAATTTCAGAATGCTTTTTAAAATTTTTAAATTTTAAAGAAAAGTGCGTGTGTACACGTGTGTGTTTGTGTGTGTTTCATGGATAGCCAATCCTTACACAATCTTGGATCTTATGTAGTTGTTCAGCATTTCATCTATAAGAATTGAAACAAACAGGAAGTAATGTTATTAATATTATCACAAAGAGAAATACATTAGGCAATATTTTATATAAATCTTACATTTAAAGAAATTGAAATAGTGTTCTTGAAATAAGGCCATCGTGTTTGAATCCTGGCACTGTACTTTAATACAGCCGAGGTATATGTTTGAAATAGAAAGGGATCTAATAAATAATTTTTCAATCTATGAAAATTGAAGAGCGTATTCATGAAATTTGCACAGGAAGCTGCTGACTACTGGTTTACCCTGATTTCCCACCTTCTCAGTATTACTCGTGCCCTTGACTGTGAGGCTGCCCTTGGTTTTTACTTGCAGGGTTTCGGGACTAGGTTTAGTTCTGTACCAGTGAGTAATTTAGTACTTGCATCCTGCAAACATTATACTGTTGTCACTACTTCTTGCTTCTGATATCTAGCTACGTAGCTCTAAATTCAGTTTTATGATCAAAGATCATTAAAAATAATTTTGAAAAACTGAAGCTAGGTAGAAATGAAGGGTAACTTTGAATGGTAAAAGAGGAATGGTAAAAGAGGAAAGCTTTGAGAAAGACGAGAAGAGTGAAGGCAAAACAAATCCTGAAACATTTTGTATGTCCCTTTGAGCAGTGAGTTTGGGATTCCAGAACCCATGGCTGATACCATTGCTGTCAACACTCAGTATAGTTGTGTTGGCTTTGATATGAAGTTATGAGGGAAAGCAAGAGAAGGGTTTAGATTATATATACTGGTATGTTAAAGAAAGGGAAAAAGTTATGCTAGATGCATGTAGTTTTGAAAGCCTGGCTAAAACATTTGGGGCCTCATTTGCCTCGTCCTTAAAATGAGAATAACTTATCTCCTTGTGAAAACAACAGCAGCAACAAAAACAAACAAAAACAGGTGGAGTGGGCTTCCCTGGTGGCACAGTGGTTGAGAGTCCTCCTGCCGATGCAGGGGACACGGGTTCGTGCCCCGGTCCGGGAAGATCCCACATGTCGCGGAGCGGCTGGGCCTGTGAGCCATGGCTGCTGAGCCTGCGCGTGTGGAGCCTGTGCTCCACGACGGGAGAGGCCACAACAATGAGAGACCCGCGTACCGCAAAAAAAACAACAACAACAACAACAAAGAAACAGGTGGAGCTATTTTACTATTTCTTTTGTGTTTAGCACTTTAAGTAAGACCCTCTCTTTTACATTTTTTCATCTTAACATTTACTTCCTCAATGCTCCTAGGCTTCAGTGAGCTGCAGTGTCAGGTTGGATAGAGGTGTGTTATGGAATATTAGCACTTCATTTACTAGCTGCATGACCCTTTGTAAACCATATAACTCTTGGAATTTCACTTTCTTCATCTACACAATGAAGGTGATAATAGTTGCCACTTCTTAAGGTTATCTTGAGGATCAAACTGCATAATTTCTGTAAAGCACTTAGGACAGTTTCCTGGAGTATAATAAGCACTCAATGGAATCTCACCATTATTATTACTAATTTTTATATTGCTACATATGTTGCAATGTGTGTGTCCAAAACACTCTTAAAAGGATGGGCACAGGTATACTCATAGAATTCAAGGATCATCTATTTTCAACCTGAAGTGCATATTCACCCTATTTTTCATTCACTCCACTTGATTTTGGAATTGTAACACATTAAGAAGGGCAATTAAATGCAGACACACACACAAGCCCACACATACCATTATAATGGAATTAACTCTTTTCTATATTTATCATGTTACTGTCAATAAATGAAGATTTGCTCAGTTCACACAACTTACCACATATTATCATAATGCATATCAGAATAGCAATTATGACTTCTGTCCTGAATCCCATGGAAAGCATAAGATCCTTATTACTGCAGGTCTGCGTGCTACCAGTGTCATCACAGGCACAGACGTGTATGGTAAGGGTGTTTGTGCTTGTAAGTGATGGGATTCCATTGTCAGCAATTAGGATGGATACATAGAAGACAGGCTCTTCTTGAAGGCTGAAACCAGTTCTATTAGTCAAAATTACAGCTGTGTTATCTAAAACAAAAATCCATGTGCATGATTTTTTCAATAATACAAAAGAAATTCATACCAGTTAAATGTACTAGAGGCAGCAGTGTAGAAATCAAATAAGTTCAAATAGGGAAGAGCTAATTTCTGATAAAAAAGACAAGAAATCAACTCAAAAAGTCATTATTGATTTTGACATTGCCTAAATCCCATTTTAAAAACTAGATAAAGTATATGAATCAGTTCCAAAATGTTTTTTTGATAAATATATGAAATGTACATGTGGAACACAGAAAAGAAAAAGCATTTTAATTAGATATCAATAGTAAATAGGGGGTACTAGCATTAAATTTATAATGACAGTATCAGTTTCATTTGGGTTAAATACTCATGACAGTGCTTCTTCTAGTAGAAACTCATTTTTTTCACAAATACTATAAATACACAAGATTTTCAAGTCATCTCCCTATCACAGCAAGTGATCTCAAATAATGTATTTACTAATAAGACAAAAGAATTAATTTTACTTGGTGTAAAAGATTCTATTAGAATGTTTCATTTCTCTTTGACATTATTAACCCATTTTCTACTTAAATTTCAGAGAATTGTTAAACCTTGGTAGTACTGATTAATTCACCTAGACAGAACATTCAAAAAATTAACAAAAATAAACAATATATACTTCAACACATTTGAAATTGCTTTTCCCTCAATCCCAAAATATTCTAAATAGTCTTTTCCAGTGCAGTTTATTGTCTCAGTACTAGTGTTTTCCCCCGACTTGACTTTGATTTTTTTTTTTTTTGTGGTACGTGGGCCTCTCACTGTTCTGGCCTCTCCCGTTGCGGAGCACAGGCTCCGGACTCGCAGGCTCAGGGGTCATGGCTCACGGGCCCAGCCGCTCCGCGGCATGTGGGATCTTCCCGGACCGGGGCACGAACCCGTGTCAACCCGTGTCCCCTGCATCGGCAGGCGGACTCTCAACCACTGCGCCACCAGGGAAGCCCTTGACTTTGATTTTTGGTATTGGCATTCCCTGAAATATTTTCTGTGGCAATCAAACAAATTTTAGAAGACACAAACAAATAAATGGAAACATATAAATGGAAGACTTTGAAATAGGCAAATGCAAATAAATGGAAGTCTTTTGAAATGTATGCCTACTTATGACTTTTCCCAAATCACCTTCTAAAAACTAATTCTCCATCATGCTCTTGAAGCCTATAAAACTCTTGTGATTTTATTCACTAGGCAGATTGAAGAGGTGAGAGATTTTATATATTTTTGGTATGTATTTCATTAAATTCCTTGTAACCACAAACAAACCAAATCAATTATTCTCTTTATGTTTCAATATATTTATTTTGTCCCACTAACTTATTTTATATTTACATAAACAAATCTAACCCACAGCTTATTTCTTATATTGATATTTGCATTTTTTTAAATCCTAAATCTATTTGAGTTTCCTTCACTGGGGAATTTGACAAAGGCAAAAGGGAAAGAAGGTGTCTGCATTTATTCTCCCATAACAGATCTCCCCTTATATGGAGCTTAAACTCAGTTGTAAGGAAGGACAGCTGCAGGTGTTTGGTTATAGATGCTTGAGTGATGAATCCTACAGTGTTTCATATCTTTGAGATATGAAGCAAAATTAGAATAGAAATCCATGTAATGACAAAAAAAAATTTTACTGAAGTGAAGGAAAAAAGAACAGAGTGGCTTTGTAAAAAGTTATTCCCCTTCTATATGGAAGGAAAAGGAATTCTGTCCCTCTGTACAAAATCCTTTAGAACATTTTGTTCTCAGGCTGATATAATCACTTCGTTTTGAAGGAAAAAGCATAGTCTTAAGCCAATTCCAAATACTTATAGCTCCTAATTAATGACTCCAAATATTTTTCAATCAATCAAGCTAACATGATTATATATCATTTTCTTCCCCAGACATGGGTTGAAGTTTGAGTTATGTGAAGACATGAAAGGAACCACGGTGTCAGAACTGCAATTATATTTGCAAGGTCATTCAGACTTTACAGGGGCCTATAGCCAACGATGACTTGAAAAAGTGCTTCTAATTTAAAGAAATCCAGTGGGAAATGGGGAAATGATATTTCCAGGATACTACTTTAGTTTTGTTTCCAATTTCCATTGCCACTCCTTGCTTTTTTTCTCAACATTATCATATTTCAGGTATAGTATAAAAAGTAAAGCTACAAATTTCCTTAAAATTAAACAAGATTCTCGAAGAAGAATGGATAGAAAGCTATTATGAGTGAATGGCATTACCTTGATTATCTATGATTGTAAAACTTGAGTTATTTTCTACCACAGATACATTAAAGTAAAAGTGGTGATCTTCTATGGATTCATCTCTATCCACTGCACTGATGGTCTGAATCACCTAGAAAAAAATAGGGATAAGTTTTTTTATATTATTATTCAGAAAAATGATCATTATCATTATTATATTATTATTATTTTAAATCATTATTAGCTTTTATTAAAATTGCTTTACCAAAATCTTTATGGATATTGCTGAGGATATCTCAAACTGCTGGAGAATATGAAAATATTTTTTCAGGTTAAAAATATGTTTACTTGGGCCTTCCCTGGTGGCGCAGTGATTGAGAGTCTGCCTGCCGATGTAGGGGACACGGGTTCGTGCCCCGGTCTGGGAAGATCCCACATGCCGTGGAGCGGCTGGGCCCGTGAGCCATGGCCGCTGAGCCTGCGCATCAACGTGAGAGGCCACAGCAGTGAGAGGCCCGCGTACAGTAAAAAAAAAAAAATATATATATATATATATATATATATATATATATATATATATGTTTACTTGCTCCTTTCAAAAGAACATTCTGATATTACATAATAAATAAACTCTTGTTAACAGAGGAGAAGATTTCCATAAGCTAAGTTCGTTAGAAAACATCCTCCCATCTTTCCTGCCTGGATTTCTCCCTTCCTTCCTTTTTTCCTTCTCCCTTTCTTATCTGAATACCAACCATTATGATTTGCTGAAGTTATACATTTCCTGCTTATATTGACAGCATAACTGTGGTAAGCTTATTGTCTTACTAGAGTATTTGCTAAAGTAATGAGCTTTTAAATTGATTTGAGGACGTAATGCATTTAAAGCTTAGGGGCAATGTACATGATTTCCTTGACCCACAAAGATTATAGGAAAAGTGTTCCATGTCAAATAAATCCCTCTCTCTATCTCAGATCATAAAAAAGTGAAATAATGCGACTATGAACAAATCACAATTAGTTCTTTGCTTTCAAGACATGAAAGTGTCAGTCAAGAAGTTAATTATTGTCAAGAAAGAGATGTGCTGTCAAGATCAAATAATGAGATTGTGATTAATTCTGGAAATTAAAGTAAATTGACTATAGAAGTTATTGTTTTGAATTTTCTAGAATGAAAGTGCTTTTAACAATGTGTCAAACAAAAATATCCTTAGTTACAAGATGACAGACCCATAATTTATAATGTTACACTTCAAAGGGTATCTCCCCACATGCATAAAGAACCTTGTGAAACTAATGCAATTTGTACATTATTTCTCTACATTGATTTATCTCTTCCTTCATAACACATTCTTAATTAAATCATAATCATGTAGTGTTAATTAACTAATCTAATAAAAGAAAACATTTTTATTCAATTCATGCCTACAATAATAAATGTTCATCGTATGAGGATAATTATTTTATTTTGGGTTATTATAAGATTTTGTATACCCAGGACGAAGGGCAAGGACTTGGAAGTCTGATACTCTGAATTCTGCCTTTACCACTTAATTTTCTAAGCTTAAAAACTGGAGATACTTTTTTTTTTTTAACTTTTTAATTTTTTGGGCTGCATCGCACGGCTTGCATGTGGGATCTTAGATCCCTAACCAGGGATCGAACCTTTGCCCCCTGCACTGGAAGCACGAATTCTTAACCACTGGACCACCAGACGATTCACTTTGCTGTACACCTGAAACTAACACAACATTGCAAATCAACTATGCTCCAATAACATTTTTTTAAAAAAATGGAGATACTAATGCTTAACTTTTAGGATTCATTTTTAGGATTCAATGTCTTAGCTTGTCAAAGTGCTTATCATATAAGCAGTACACATTTTTACGTGTTTTCTTCAGGAAAACATTGTCTTGTTGGGATTTGCATAGGATGGTGTCCTGAATACTGTGAGTAATCTTGTTATATATATATTTGCTCAATTAAGATGGATAGCAAATTGTAAAAAAAAATCACGTTTATCTTGTTGGCATATGCAGCCTTGATTTTTAGACAAGAAATAATTTATCTTACTACCTGACTTTCTGTTTTAGACACATGCCTCTGACTAAATGTTGAAAATGTTTTCCTTTCTTGTATGAAGGCTCAAGAACACTAGAGAGATTTTGACTTTGTAAATATTTTTAAATACTTTAAAAACCAAACTACCAGGGTGAGCTGTGACAAAGCGAGAGAGAGGCATGGACATATATACACTACCAAACGTAAGGTAGATAGCTAGTGGGAAGCAGCCACATAGCACAGCGAGATCAGCTCCGTGCTTTGTGACCACCTAGAGGGGTGGGATAGGGAGGGTGGGAGGGAGGGAGACACAAGAGGGAAGAGATATGGGAACATATGTATATGTATAACTGATTCACTTTCTTGTAAAGCAGAAACTAACACACCATTGTAAAGCAATTATACCCCAATAAAGATGTTAAAAAAAACCTAAACTACCCTATACATATGTATAGGTAAATGGAATATGTACAGGTTTCTCCTGCCTTTTTCAATGAACATACCTCCACTTATAAATTGCTTTGTAAACCGGGTTTCCATATGTTTTATTGGGTTCCACCACTTTACAAAAATAGGAACCCACTAACATAATAGAATCAGTCACATAGTGGGTATCATTCTATTGAACCAACCTCGAACATGTATATTTTTCTTGAAAATGCAAATCTCTAAAATGGGGTCAACATTAATATACTTTCAAGTCTTTTTTTTTTTTTTTTTTTTTTTTTTTTTG